CTTGACATAGAACTACAAATAGGTGAAATACTCTCTGGTGTTCCTAGCTTCTCTGCCGAACTATATCCGCAACAAATCTGACGGAATGTCACTGAGCGTGCTCCGAGCCGAATCCTGTCCTCCTCCCTTTGATGCCTCGTCGTCAACCGTTTTATCCTCTGACGACGCAACATCTTCACGCGGTGTCGTACTGTCGCGCAATTGATGCGTGCTGGTGCGCGGCTGATTCGTGACGACGCGGGGCGGATCGACGTTGTAGCTGTTGACTTCGTCCACGGAGAGTCTCGGTGTTCTCTGCAGCTCGGTGGAGATGGTGTAGCTGGCGTTCGTCGAGATATGCAGCTGTTTCAAGCTTCGCGTCCAGTGCCAGGGGCAGGTGGTCAGCATGCAGGTGTACACTTTCAGGTATTCAGATCTCAGCATCGCGTACACGGGCGCATTCGCAAAGGAGTTGGCGTACGCGAAAAGGACCGTGTACGCCTTGGCGATCTCGAGATGCTTATGGGAGAGAAGTTTGAAAAATTTCATGGGAGCGACAAGGAGATAGGGCAACCACAGGAGGACAAACAGCAGCATCAGCACTACGGAGATTTTCACTGTGGTGATGCGCTGATTAAAATTACGGACGTTGTCTCTAGACCAAACATTGCTTTCAGCTCGAAATCTTTTGACTTGCTTGTTAACGACAATCACGACATGAATGTCCAGGATGGCCGAGACAAAGACGCAGATGTAGGTATTTCCAATGGTAGCCCAAGCCACGTAGAGTCTTGGCAAAATCTCGTAGAAATTGCAACGGATTCTTGGGTCGTGTATTTTGTAATCGTATCTATTGAGCCCCACGAAAGGCAAAAAGCCCAAAATTAAAACATACAACCATATGAAAAAGAGAAGCAAGAGCGAACGTTCGGTGGTCACCCAGATGCGATACCTCAGTGGCCAAATCACGGCCAGGTAGCGGTCAATTGTTATCGCGAGTAGAGAAGTGAGAGAGCCGCTCAGTGAGGTGACGACAGCCGCAAAGCGGAGCAGACAAAGGTATTTGTGAGTATTGATAAACTGAGGGTTGTACTTGGACAAAACGTTCATCGGTAGATAGAAAACGCCCAACAGGAAGTCGGATATGGCCATGCTCAGGAGTAAAAGGTTATTGCTGTTGTAGAACCCAGGGTACAGGAGGATTCCCCAGAAAATAAGAAAGTTCGACATACAGATCAGAGGAATGTAAAACACGATGACACCCGTGCTGACGTAGTGGGCATGTTTGATATCTAAGTCGTCGTAAAAGCTCGACGTTGCGTTGGTGAAGGAGATGTCATCGACTACCATGAACGATGGGTCATCAACCATCACAAACATCTCCGACATTCTCGTGCTTCTTCTCAGGCTCGCTACGTTCGGGCTCACAACAAAGTAGTTATCCTTATGTCTTACCGACGAGATTCGAGGCATCGTCCGGGGGCATGCTCTCAAAGGGAGACCTTAACCTGCAGATGAAGCAAGACAAATTTCTTGGGGCATCAAGTGACGAAATGAGCAAAGCATGTTTAAGAACTTATTTTGAGGGGGGGGGGGAGAGCATGTGGGTTAAAGGGTGCACGAGGCTAGTAGCATCAGGGCCACGGGAGGTTAACGCATAGCAGTAAACGGGCTAACAGCAAGTGCAACCGTGGGACAAGATTACACATGTGGGGCTTGCTGTTCGAATGCTTGCTTTACTGATGTTTTGTTTAAAATAGAAAACGAAAGCATGTTTAAGAACTTATTTTGAGGGGGGGGGGGAGAGCATGGGGGTTAAAGGGTGCACGAGGCTAGTAGCATCAGGGCCACGGGAGGTTAACGCATAGCAGTAAACGGGCTAACAGCAAGTGCGACCGTGGGACAAGATTACACATGTGGGGCTTGCTGTTCGAATGCTTGCTTTACTGATGTTTTGTTTAAAATAGAAAACGGGATGTCTCGAAAGCTGAATTCAAAAGTTTTATTTAAAAACACAATTTTGAACGCCGGAAGTGACCTATATGCTCGTGAATAAATTTGAATGGAATTATTGTAGTTTAATGTGTGTCGATGGGATCCTTAATGCGGTTTTATAAAAAAAAAATCATTTATTCACACAGCAGTGTTTCAAAGTGTTGGAGAGGAAGTGCTAGCTCGACGAGACGAGCAAGTTGTTGGAATCCCAATGAAAGACGCTTGCGGGGATAGATGGACCTCGGACATCCTCTCAGCTCAGAGCGGGGATGATCTCCAACCGCTCAGTTAGAGCATAGATAACAATTGTATATTGTCATACGGACATTATCTAACTATAGAGCCGAATGGCTTTGAAGTGTGCTAATATCGATGTCCTTCATCCAACAATGTGGCAGTCTTATTTTCAGGGGGAAAAATTAAACGAAAAGGTCCAATTACACTGTTACAAAATGTACACACTGGTTAGTTTTCTTCCAAATAGTCCCAGTTCAATTTAAAAAAAAAAAAAAAAAAAAAAAAAAAAAAAAAAAACCTAAAAAAAAAAAAAAAAAAAAAAAAAAAAAAAAAAAAAAAAAAAATTTTTTTTCCAAAAAATCCCCTTTCAATTTAAAAAAAAAAAAAAAAAAAAAAAAAAGAAAAAGTTACTGTATTCAAAAATCATTACAAAAAACATAAATCAAATCAAAAAAAGTTCCACTCTACACAAACTTTTCGTTTTTATTCTTTTCTAATCTTTTACCATTGAAAAGTTCGACTCGACAAGCCCTCACCCCATTCAAACAATAGTTATGCTCCATTTAAACCAACAGTTGCATTCCATGCAATCAAATCATTACACTCCATACGTCACCAATTCTTTCAAATAAAACTAACTATCAGCCACCCGAAACACAACTCTTTGAGTCCCACAGCCACCCGAAACACAACTCTTTGAGTCCCACAGCCACCCGAAACACAACTCTTTGAGTCCCACAGCCACCCGAAACACAACTCTTTGAGTCCCATCTTGAAAGGGTTGAAATGATTTTTTTTTTAAATAAATAATTTTAGGGCAATACATTTTTGATAAATCAACTTAAATGAAAACAAAAGTGTAGATCTAAAACATCGGACATTCGACAGCTGGACTGAGTTACCAAACAAAAGCTTTTTTAATAATAATACAAGTTTATAACGATCATTTATGATTATACTTCACTAAGATTTACGAATGATTTACACTAAGATTTAAGGAACATCTAAAAGTAATACAATACAATGTCAATATCTATGTAGTAAATGACTTTTCTCGTAGTTAGTATTTTATTAAGTTAATTTTTTTTATTATTATTTTTTTTGTTGTTGCTTTAGTCCTTATTTTTAACTTTTAAAATATTACTTTTTGGCTTACCACTTTTAAATATATTACATTAAGAAGATCTTTTCAATTAAAAAAAAAAAATTCTCTAAACAATATTTCTATAACAGTATAAATTCTAAGGATCAATATGTACGCGGTTTTTGACTACCTCTTATTATAGGCGAAAGCATTTAATTTTTGTAGTTCTTGTAGCCCCCATCCTCCTCCCGCTCCCCTTGTCATTATGTTACACCATTTCGGTACAGATGCACAACATTCGGTCCATCTGCTTAAAATCATTGTCGCATTGAAACCCCCAATTCAGCTCACTGTCCGCTTGAATTTATGCTAGATACAGTTCCATTTTGTTCCAATATTCTCTCTCTTATGTGTTCAACTAAAAAAATCATGCACATTTGTACCAACCACCTCTCTCTTTCTCTCTAAAAATAATAGGTACAAACTATCGCTCAGATTTGTACCAGCCATCGCTCTCATTTTTTTTCGAAACCGTCTTTCATTTGTAAAACAGTCTACCTCGTTTGTAACAAAAATCTACCTCGTTTGTAGCAGCAATCTACCTTGTTTGTAACAACAATCTACCTCGTTTGTAACAACAATCTACCTCGTTTGTTACAACAATCTACCTTGTTTGTAGCAACAATCTACCTCGTTTGTTACAACAATTTACCTCGGTTGTAACAAAAATCTACCTTGTTGTTACAACAATCTACCTCGTTTGTTACAACAATTTACCTTGTTTGTAATAAAAATCTACCTCGTTTGTAGCAACAATCTACCTCGTTTGTAACAACTATCCCCTTCTTATGTGTACGAAATTTGTCTTTTATTTTAACCAACCATTTCTCTTTTTTTTTTGGTACCAACCCACCCGCTCTCTCTTTCACTCTCTATTTAAAAAAAAATAATAATATCACACAGAACATTATACATCGCTCTCGTTTTCTCGTACCTTACCTCCCCCCCACCCCCCACTTTTAAAAAAAATTATAGCAGCAATCCTTAGGCTCTTTTATTTGCAGCTAACATTCTCTGTCTTTCTCTTTCTCTCTCATTCTCCGTCCAACTATATTTATCACCTTAAGCGAATCATCTCTCATACACCTACCGTATTTACCATGGCGAACCAACATCTCTATCATTCTTACAAACCATCAATCATAGGTTTGAGCCTTTTCTTTCATTTTCCCAAACCACCATATCTCTCGCCCTAATATGTATCAACCGTTTCTCCAATGTGCAGCCGCCTATGGCCTCATTTTCTTCCAACATTTCCCCCGAATCTTCCAATGATTTCTCTCCTTCCCCAACCATGGAAATAAAATTGCACAAAATTAACCCCAAGATTTCATCATATTTCTGTACTAACATCATTTTCGGACTCACTAAACATTGCTCTGAAGCTTTCTTTTGAGAATACAAAGTTCACATCCGTGTTTTGGGGAACGGCTATTCCCAAGTAAGAAAAGACATCGCTGGAGACCTTCTCCGTGAGCTTGGTGTCCTTCTCTATGGCGGTGCGAGGGTCAAGGGCCAGACTCTCGGTCGGCGACGACGGGACTGACACCGGCCCACTCTCGCAGGTGGCCCAGAATCTCTTATCCCGGCTCAGCTGTCGGAGCTCGTCCTTCCAGCGCCAGGGTGGTGTGGTCACCATGAGCCCGTACACTTCCATGTACTCCTCTCTCAGGATGGCGTAGATGGCCGCGTTGATCGACGAGTTGGAGAAGGCAATCAGCAGGGCGAACGTTTTGTTGGCCTCCACCGTGTCCAAGGCGGAGACGTGCCGCAGTTTAAACGGCACGATGACTAAGTACGGGCACCAGAAGAGTATGAAGATGATCATTAAAACAAACGTTATTTTCACACTCATCATTCGCGACCGGTACTGCCTGATGGCCTCGCCCGTGTGGCACGGCCGGCGCGTCTGGGCTTGTCGAATCACGATTCCTATGATATGTATGTTGAGAAAGGCCGAGCTCAAGATGCAAGTATACGTGAATATGATTGTGCAGAACACCACATACGGCAAGGGTAATACCGTGTAGTAATTACAGCGTAGATTTACGTCTTGCACACTGTAATCATAATTGTTCCATCCGAAAATCGGGAGCATAGACACAACAAAGACAAAGACTGCATCGATGGCCAGAAGTTTGAAGGCTTTCTCGATGGTAATCAAAACATTATACCTAAGGGGCCACAGCACGGCGATGTAGCGGTCGATTGAAATCAGGAGCAGAGCCTGAATCGAGCCCCCTGCGGCGAGCGTCACCGACGTGAACTTGAGAAGACACAAGTATTTATTGTTGTTGATGGTCTGTTTGGTCGCCTCTGTGTAGCCGAGGATGTACATGGGTATGCCGAAGGCTCCCATGAGAAAATCATAGACGGCCAGGTTCATCAGCAGGAAGTTGTTGCAGGTGTAGAATCCGGGGTAGAGCAGGATCCCCCAGAAGACAAACGTGTTGGAGATGATAATCATGGGCACGTAGAGGCTCCCCATGACTATGAACACGGTGTAGGCGAAGCGGACGTGGGTGTCGATTGGTGGCGACGTCCCATTTGAGGTGCCTTTAAAGTAAGAGAATTCCGGCGCGGCAGCCCCATCGAGCATGCTTGCCCTTTTTTCCCAGTGTCACCTTGAACAATTATTAACACCATTAGCATGCTGCCTCAAAGTCATATATTTTTCCAAGGTAAAATGTTCCATATATTCGGAATGGCTGTAAGTGGGAATGGTTTAAGATAGTCATCGTTGTCCTATCAAGGTCAAGCGTTAAATTTAGTACCTGGTGACCTGTAGATGGATCAATACAAGATTCCATGGAGATTTTATCGGGCTCAATTCAATTATTAAAGTCCTAATTATGAGTAACAGTTTGCAACTGCTGATAAGTCTATCACTTATGATCTTTTTCATTTTATCTTCAAAAATCTTTCTTATCTTGTGTCTACAATCATACAAAACAACTTGCTTAAATAAAATCACGTAATTTCTTCTAAAACTCCCGTTTTCTTTTTTTTCAAGTCACGAGTATAAATTTTTATGAAGAAGAATGTGTGTTTTTTTCTCTTCCTCCTTTAAATATTATTTGTTACATTTGAAGGGTACAAACTGAAATACTGATAAAAACTTTAATTCAGTCAAATTAATTTCGCTGCAAGGATTATAATCTTTTAAAACCGGACCTCAAGAATTAAAAATATTTAAATTAAACATGTATTCAGTGTTGGATAGGGTTAAATACAGGATCCGTCAACTATTGAAAGCTGAAAATGCTGGACCAGATACAAATGTCTAGCTAAATGTTGCTTTCATAGGTAGCGTGGAAAAGAATTTGAAAGGATCTAAAAGGAATGTCATAAACTCATGTCAAAAAAAAAATAAAATGTGTTAATTTGTTTTCCCAATTAATAAAATATATTAAAAAATTTCTCAACTTCCAAAATTAAACTTGTTTAAATAGCTCAACATGTTTCCCCATTTCTCATTACGTCACAGAACGAGCAGAGGAATGTCTAAAACACATTTTGTTTCACGAGAATTTGGCTCTTGTTTTTTTTTTAACATTCTCTTTGTGGGTAAACTAAATCATGGTAACAAAGTTTAAAAGGATGAAAGAAAAAGTGAGAGATGACAAGAATAATAAAAAAAAAGGGATATAAAAAAAAAAAAAAAAAAAGACACGAATGGACTAGACTATAGACCTTTGGAAACTGAAGCAGCTTTACAGAAAAAAAGGACATCTCATGTTAAAGAAGACATTTGCTTACACCTTGACCACTCGGGGACCATAAGTAAATCAACTAAAAATATATCACCGTTTTTTTTTTTTTAAAGTTGCCAAAGTTCAAATTGATATTGCGAAGCAACAAACTAAGCCCCACCAAAAAATACTTTAGCGCCAGCCTAGATTATTTTCAAAAAGATAGGTAAAATAAATAACAGTTATAATCAAAGAGAAAGTATTATCTAATCATTTATTCCGAAAAAAAGCCAATGATATCAACCAGTGTTTTTTTTTAAATCCACACTTATACTTTAAAAGTATTCGCCACTAACCTAATCCATTTATGTAATCTGAGAGCTTCAGCCAATGTTACCTGGTGATCATTAAAATGTATGGTAAGAATAACTAGTAAAATAGAATAATATAAACAGACGGTTCAACCAAAAAAGAACTGAAATATAAATTGAATAAATAAATCAGACAATAGTGCATCGAATAATAATGGTACGATATAAATCAATAGGATAGCCCAGTAGTAGAAACAATTGCGCATTAGAGATAAGAGAAGCTGCCCTCAGCCCTAAAAAATCTCCCTTCATGCACTTTAAAACGACAAGGACGGCACATATTCTGTTCCATAACTACACATTCATTTCATTTTCTGCATTATTTAGTGTTAAAGACTAAAATAACCTCAGCATCGCAAACAACGACAAAATAAAAAGGGGGGGGGGGAAAGGACAGGTTCGTATTGCACGCCATTTATGACATAAACCGGTAGGGGTCGTACTCAAATTACGACGCGCTCGGGGGTGGGGTGGGGGTCGAGAATTTGTGACACATGTGACGGCGTTGGGTTGGGGGGGGGGCAAAAATTTTTGACGTCACAAAATAATTTATTTTTAAATTTTCTAATTTTGAAAAATCTTTATTCAATTAATTTTAAAAACTGTAAATTTAGGTGGAAATTGCCTCTGGTATTATAGGTACCGTGAAACTCAGTCGCGCACACCATCTGCGCATATCGAATAATGACNAAAGTATCTGTGACACGTTTTCACGGTGGGGAGGGGGGGTCTGAAAAGGTCATTTTTGGGTGACGTAATTTGCGAACGACCCCTTAGGTGTGTGTGTGTGGGGGGGGGGGTTAAAAAAATTTAAAACGGAATCAAACGCAAAACTTAAGTTAACTTCGAGGAATTTTATGGACAACGTTGGCTTTAAGGTTGTAGTACTCCAAAAAGTCACATCAACCTTTTAAAGGTTGCTCCAATGAAAGTATGGTGGAGTGAAAACTTGATGAAAATATGGCCTGCACAGCATTACGGCCCTTTGGTCGCATGCGGCCCGCAAGCACCCACTTTGCTGTCAGCAAATTAACGAAGTATTCTTTATTCTTATTATTATTTTCTTAATAGCTTCTCCTCCCCCCACCCCCTTTGTCCTATTTTGTTTTGTCCCGCACAAGTTTTTCATAAAGTATTTCGGCCCACCTTACATTTTGAGTATTGCAGGCCTGCTCTAAATGAACTTACAGTGGAATGATATCATTACAACACGGTGAAAATATGCTCTAATTCAGGGTGTCTCAAACTCGTGTTCCGATCTGAGACAGCATCAAAGAATCCGTATTACGATTGCCACTAGTGTTCACGAGTGATGAAAATTCCGAGCCTGTCAGCTTGGTGACTTTCAAAATAGGGTTTTGTCAAAAAAGCCTTTTCTACGATAAAAAATTCAAAATTCATTCTCCATACCATAGAATCTTCCTACACATCAATAATTCATAAATATTGCCTGCTCCTGCCTAATGCTTGACATTTGTTAGCATTTAAAGCCTTCATGGAGAAGGCTGGGGTGGTTGTTCTTGTACTAAGTGATCTCGAATGGCCCCATGGACTTTTCTTGTTGATATTATACAGGAGCTGAATGTACTCAACAACAAGTTACAAGACAAAGCTTGTCGGTATTGCCTACGACAATGTCAGTGCATTCTGCACAAAACATGTGTCATGGTTCTTAGAGAAATCTCTGCTATTACCAAACATGCAAAGTATTCATTGACGTGCATCATTCAGTAGTAAGTCTATTGATGCCATTGCAAAGCTACAGGAGGAATTTGATGACATTTGATCACATGTTTTTAGATTTCAAAACACACAGAGTTCTATTCAACTTTCTTCTGACCCTTTCTCCCTAAATGTGGAAGATCCCCCCCCCCCCCCAACTTTTTTTGCGCTTCAAATGACGTAGGACGAGTTTCGACTTTTCAAAATCTACCCCACACTCCCCACCCCCCAACTTTTTTTGCGCTTCAAATGGAACTGATTGAAATGTATCTTCTAAGTTCAGGAAGAATAATGGAGAAAAAAAACAGACAAGCTTGGACAATTTATGAGAGCATTGCCCTCCACCTTCCCTCAACCTATCCAGGTTGTTCAAGCGGATCATGTGCCTTATTTGGTGAAAAATATCATTTCCAACAAATTCAATAATTGCTTGAAATCGGGACATAGTTTCGACGTGTTGGGACATTTTTAGTATGTAACTTACACGCATCTACGATTTCCTTATTTAGAAACGTAGTGTTAAAAATTAATATTTTTTTCATAGGCTGAAATACAAAAGAGATTGGCAAATATTTAGTTTTGTGTGTAAGAAGCGCAATAGATTTACCTACTGCATCTCTGAATTTTTTTTTTTAAAGGACTAGTCTTTCCAGCTACAAAACATCTTTGTCTTTTTAATTCCCTATTCTTTACTGCACGTACTACACTCTCCAATCTCATCAGCCCCCCCCCCTAAACCCACCCACCCACATCCAAGGTTAGGTATATAAACTTAATGTTATCATTATTATGAATAATGTAACCAAACTACACATTAAAAAATATGATTTTTTTTTTTTAAAGCAGGAAAAAAAAGGGTGTAAAAATAACCCTAGCACAGAAAAAATTTAGAAACCATACAGACGTGTCTCATAGATCCACTTGGTGTAATGAAACATCTTTGTCATTTTCAGTTTAGGAAGTATTCCCTAAAAAATCGTGCAGTAGGTACAACCCCTCCCCCAAAATACTTTTTCTTCTTCTTCTAAGACTCAACTTATGAAATAATGGATAGTATCGAGGACACCCCCCTCCTCTCCCCCCCCCCCCC